AGGTCGAATGTCCGTGTGACACCTGGCTAGCGCTAGGAGGATGAAAGAGACTGGATGAAGCTATTCACAAGAAACCCACATGTATGTAGATCAACAGAAGGAAGCCCTGCGGCCTCAGGCTACAAGACCTGGTACGTACCATAAGACCTAGGCAGACGCGGTATAAGAAGGCCAGGGAGCTCAGCCCTCTTATGAGGGTTGAAAGAGTTCAACAAGGCCTTCGAGACCAAAGTAAATTATCAGCGGAATTGAACTACTGTTCCAAGCCCAGAACACTGCCCTTGTCACAGGTGTGGGCAAGTTAAGTCTACCTTACTTGTCCTTGCCCTCATGAAAAATGACGATTAGGGTCAATGGTCCATTTATAGCAATTGTTCTTCACTATGCCTCCGTGCTTGCCATTGACTCCATGGCAATCACAGCTGTCCGTTGGCACGGACAGGTAGTGGAGGCATAGGTTTTTGTCGTATTTGAAGCCACACTTGGAGTTGGCCTTGATCTCAAGCGCGACGTGGATGGAAACAAAACCAACGCCACGGTTATACGGATAGTCCCATTTTTCGGACCTAAAGAACCCAGGCCCAAGGTCCGAGTGCTCGACCAGGTCACAAAATCTGTTCATGGCGTCTACCATCCGCACCCTCTCGGTGTCTTCTCCGCCGTTATAACATTTCAGGGTGTTGGTCCGCGCGTCGCCTTGCTCATAGGGCGAGGGCTCGGGCACCGGCTCCTTCACGGTTTGGGTAGGTTTGGGCTGGACGGTGGTTGATGTTGTTGTAGAAGAGTCGGGAGGGCACGTCGTCCGCAGTTCCGCACTGTTCTCATTGAAATAATCACCACTGTCTGGAACTCCTGGCCTGGTCATATTCCCAAACCATGGCTGAGTGTAACACCATGGATTGTTGAAGTCGAGGAAAGAACATTCATCAACCAATGGGTTTTCAGGGTAGCCGAAATATGCCCGGACAGGTTGCTTGGGCCAGCTTCCGGAGGGGGGCGCAGGCGCGTTGGGATCGATGGATGCCGGAGGCTTGGGGAAGGCATCAGTGGGAGATGTGGTTGTTGCCCTTCCGTCGTTGCCGGTGTAGACAACAGCAGGCCAGACAGGAGTCGTTGCTGGAACGGGCCATATAGTAACGGCGGCGTCTGCACGTTTGTTCTTGGCCGCGCCACCCTGGGTTATAGTTACTGGCTGAAACACCCATTCGGTGACGGTCAATGGCGCCTGCGTGATGGTACTCGTCCAGGTTCCTTGGCTGACAGTGATCAGCGGGTAGTTGACCGTACTGGTTGCACCTTTCCACGGTGGTAGCTGGATATTGCAAGGAGGAGAGCAAGTGAACTTGGGTTGATCCATCTCCCAGATCGCGGGGTTGATCCAAATAGCTTCATTAAAGTTGGTCTTGCCGTTACTACCCACGTCGAGAATGCTGATTTGGGACCAGCTGGGGTGCGTGTCGACGTTGAGGTTATCGATGGCCGGGATGCCTTTGCCGTCCATAACAGCCATATACTTGGCCCCGATGGTGACAAGATTCTGGAAGCGGACGTTGGCGAGGTTGTTTTGGAGAAGCATCAGCGCCTTTTGACATAACTGCTTATCGATGCACGTCTGCGCATATGTTGAGAACCACTGGGTAAATCGGATGGTCATTAGTACCTTGGAAGTAGATATGGATGCAATGGCTGTGTCTGTGTGGGTCATCACTTACAGTGTAGATGCCTGCACCAGCGACAAATATGTTTGCCGAACCTGTTATGACCACAGACCAGGATTGGTCACAGCCACTGAATTCATTTCCAGCAGCACATGTATAATCGGGGTCCCCCCGGCAAAAGGCCAACGACGGCAGCAAAAGGAGCTGGTGGTGGCGGAGTCGGTTGGAAGTAGGGCGATTCGGTTTGCAACATGCCAGCGTATATGTTTGCTGCCCTGTGGAAGTTGTACTGGTAGAACACGGCGTGCTCCGACGCAGTGCCGTAAAGCCTTTGTAGTCATGAGGTTAGTCTCTTGGACTCTAGAGCTGTGATGGGAGGAAGACATTGAAGATGTGGAAGCTTACCAAGTGGGTTTCGTGCTTTCAATCAAAAAGCCACGAGCAACATAGATGGAGGTCTGCACCATGGGATTGTTTCCGCTGACCAGATCAGGGTCACTGGTGGCAGGTAGGGAGTGGTTAGTTCAGCCAGTCACAAGAGGTGGTAGGGAACAGTAGAGCACAACTTACTCAAGCATGTGGTCGGCTCCCCAAAGCCACATGTTTTCGAAGTAACCCGACGCCGATGGAGTAAGGTGCATCATCAGACTAGCAGCAGAGCAGCCGGAATTGATACCGCTAGTGACGGGAGGGCACTCTGCAGGTGTCAACTTTGTTCCCGTCGCG